TCCAAGGATTTGCGTGCGGATGATACATTGTTGTATGAACAGCAACCAAAGGATTTGTATCACTTTCGTATATCTTAAACTATTGTTGATCATTAATATGTACATCTTATCAATTAAAATACCATTGATATGTAAATAGTGAACATGAATTGATATATAAATAGTGAACATGAATCAAGTAGTGCACCTTTCCAATTTCAACCACATCGCCTCCAGATGGAGCGTTCGATGCAGATACTGGAACAGCATAAGACGACGATGTAACAGCTGATAACGACCTTGAATAATCATCTTCTGTATTTGATGAAGGCATCGCTAACAATCCACCATTATAACTGAAACAGCATCATGAAACGAATATGAAGCTCGTAATAATGATACTACAATCAATAACGATAGTAACGTTATTAAACAATCATCATAACGATGATAATTCTGACGGTAACCGAACGAAAAATTGATATGATTGACCCAATCCATTTAGGAAATTCTGAAACTCGGTTTAACCGAACTAAATTCGAAATTTTCCGGTCAAAATCTGATAAGACCGATTTCTGCAACACGGGAATTCAGTTACATCAAACAAATACCATATTTTCCGGTTGAAATAAGACCAAAATAACCCCAGATAATACTAAACTCTGGCAATGGCCGAGAAACTAGAAAACTGTCGAAACTTAGGATTCGGTGAAAATTTGACCGAACTGCGGTCGAAACTGACCAAAGTTCGAGCACCATCACTACTGTCAATCGTAGTAATAATGATCGGCTTGTCTCGCTTGCTTGTTGCAAGCTAATGCGACCGATCGCTCGCTGTGAGAATTTCTAGAACCTTATCTCCCATTCCATTTTCTTTGAGGCGTAATGACAGAATAGCCGAACTAGCTGTGAAATCATTAGACGATTGATGGCCAAAGACCGTTTTAAACAAAACGGGCAGTTTCAGAAGCTGACGTGTATTGCGAGCTGTTCAAAATCGACATTATAAAGGGACGACAGAATAATAACGAAACTTACGTGGTTGCCATGGTTGGTAGGGTAAGTTGTGCATATGGGTTATGCTGTGGTAACGTATTCGTATTCCAGTATGGATTAATTTCAGAAGTATTTTGATTTGCTGACTGCATTTGATTAGTATCCAGTGGGTAAGCATTATAAGCATTTTGGTCAGAATACATCATTTGTGAGAGGAATCGTGCTGATCCGTCTTTTGTGTCTCGAACCTTTAACAGTTTAGAATTTATTCACTTCAATAAATTTATTGTCTAGAATTAATGTCCGCCACAGCTTAATATCTTCCGGTTGAAAGCAAACTTTTAACACGTGCGTATCGCTTACTCGCGTGACAAAATTCCACGCAGAATTTTCAGTTTCAGTCGAACGAATGCAATCGAAAAAAGCACAACAACGTTAGCGAGAATAATGATCAGTGACAATCGGAGATGGAATATATTCGCTGATCTCCTCTAACGAATGCCAATGTTCAGTTATAGTTACATTGAAAGTGCATATACACACTCATACAGTCATTACACACTTTTCAAGTTACACGCTCTCTTCCTTCCCGCATCGAAACTTGATTAAAGGAAATGCTGCTTCAAATGGCTCTAAAACAATCACTTCTACTGCATACTTTAAATGGCTCTAAATCAATGAATTTTTTCACCAATAAGACGATAAACTCTTTAATTTAATCGTTATTCTCAGAGTCAACACTAAGATGGAAATTGTATCAGTAGTACAGATCACCGAAAGTAAATAATCAAAGCCTGTTTAATCGTGGAGCGGTGATCACAATAATCCCATACATAAAGTCATAGTTTTCTACATAATAACTGTGTGAAGTGTCCAGTTTCGGGATAAGACAACCTGTCCATTGATCAAAGTAAGGCAAACCGTAAGTGATTATAAATTACTGGTAGCAGAATTAGTAGACACTGGAGTGGGTGTTAGGATGAAACGAAACTATGATAATCGAATAATAAGAATAAAACAATGTTAATAACGACTCGATTTCATTTCACATATCAAAAACGAAACGAGCTTTGCTCACAGCAACACACGCACAAATGTGCATATGTATGTAAGGGAGGAGCAATTTGAAACGATTGTATGAAATAAAATAAAATGAAATAATATGCTGAGTGAAGAGATTTAGAAGATGAATCAAGAGGCATGACCCGGGCACAATAGCCGAAACTCATTTGACAATAATCGATAAACCGTATATGCAGTACATCCTATCCTATCTTATCCAAGTCCTATCGTATCGCCTCTCATATGCATCCATCCGTTCAGATTGCTTTCATTCCTCCCGCGACTAAATAATCGTGCTATCCTCTTCTGTTGTTTTCTACACTCTTATTTTATATCTAGCGTATAAATCGCACCATATTCTCATCCACAGTTCGAGTGAATATCTTCAAATTAATACTTATTCGCATATTATATGTTCAGGCTTTCCATTACACGACTAATTGCGTACAGGGAGTAATATTTTGAAAATGTTTCGGGATGTCAGGAACAATTGAAGTGATAACAGCGAATGAACTGACATACATGACGGGAAAGTGATTCTATGCACTTTTCACAGCTGATGTAGACGTAAAGAGATAGTAATCATTCAATGAAGGCAAAGCATAATGGTACTGATAAAGAAGTGAATATCAACCGTGATAATTAGGGTTTGTAACGAATGAAATGAATTGATTATTTTAATTACCTCTGAATGGAGATTTGTTGAAAGAACTTAGCAGCTAACCAAACATTCGTTGAGATTTTATACTACTCGGAATGATTATTCACGAATGGTTGTTAGAGGAGGAGCATGAATTAGTTCATTACTGAGAGCAAATTATATATACATATCAATGAATATAAACGCACTCTTATGATCTCTTAGGATGGCATATATTCAACTTACCAACAATAGTAAAAGTGGCAGGTGATAACGATTTTTAAAAGATGACCAATTAAACTGGAGGAGAAAGGATGTCGTTCATATTAAAGCTAAAAAGGTAATAAATGGTAGTTTAAATACAGTATGGCCTAGAGCGATGCCCTATGGACTAATGCCTTTCGAATGTGACAATTCGACGAAATGAAGTTAAACTGAAGTTAATCGATCTAATACAGCACCACCTCTGACTGTGTTCCATTCAAAAACTACCGTATAGCTGGATGTAGACGTCGACAGAAAGAGGCCGCCCCATTGAGTAAGCAGCAATAAGCAAGCGAATGTAACGATGGATGCGTTTCGTTTCGTTCAATCAGAAATTGTTTTTGAGAGCCTAAGGCAGAGTTTGTTAATGTGTTTCAAACCGAACTAGTACGTAAACAAGTTGTGGTGTATATGAAAGGTTGACTTACGCTCTTCTAGTCGCATCCTTTTTACTGAATGCCATGTCCTGTCAACCGATTCAACTTAGCAAAAACAAAAGCTTTTGAATTTCACAAAAGAAAGCATATCATTTAAAATGAATGCATGTATGGTTATGTTAACGTTAACCTGTATAAATGAGCATTATTAGTTAATGATTTAGTAGAATTCACTCGATCGGCTAACATCATCTTCATATTTGCATCACAATGAAAAGTTGAACAATAATATGCAGAATAACTACTTTCTGAAGTTCATTCTCGTATATATGAACAAAGTATTTCTTCAGATGTATCAAAAGCAAATTTCTAACCAACAACGAGTGTTTTAAGTGATCATCTGTCAAAACCTGTTAAGCATTCTGAATGCCGATGAGTTCCATTCTTGATACTCTTCCAGCCTAGACATTTCATTATTTTTTCGTATTATAGGATTGATAGTTTTCATCTTATCTAGTTTGGTAATGATGGGCCCGAAAAAGAATTATTACAATCAATAAGGTTTTATGACGAAAAAACGAGCAGGCACGTACAGATAAAGCTGAGTAAACGTATCGCCATTCGATGTTTAAGCTTTTCGTTGCTCCGTTAGAACAGTCACTGATTTATGGAGTATTGAATTGCAGTTATTATTATTATTATTATTATTATTATTATCATAATAATAACTACTATTATAATTATTATTGTAGTAATTGTGATTATTGTTATTTCCACTGTTATAATACTATTACTATTGCTGTTATACAATAAATATTCAGTCAACGCAAGAATACGAATATTTTGTCGGACTGATTAATGGGTTGATAT